ATGTATTCGTGTCGATCATTTGCTGTGCCGATAACGTAGATAAGTCACGTGCATGCTGTGTCGGTATATTTCCCCATTTTAATTGGCTTTTAGGTCCAAAATATTATCGTTAGGCATCTCTGGCCAGAGATGCCTAGAAATACCCTTATAAAATGTATAATGCATCTTGCAATAATCAATGATTTAATGATTTGCAGCTCAAAAAAAAAGACATCAAAAAATAAGCGACACAAAAAAAGTATTCAAATTATTTTTGTTGCATTAAAGTTGTTACTATCAATGCTTTACTTGGTAAATGTAAAAATTGATAAAAACTTATTTAAATTGATGCATAAAAATTGTATAAATTCATACTATAGATGTTTCGAACCAACGGGTTGTGTGATACAAATAAATCACGTGATGCGAGACGGATTGAACATCTAAATTTTTATAATATAGATATTTTATAGACCCTTACTGAATAGCAACAAACATCTACTATTTTATATATAATTAGCTTTTGGCACGTGCCTCTGGCACGAGTAAAGATAGTAATTTTAACTTTTATGCTTATGAAATAAATGTTTATAAAATAATTTTAACTAGTCTTGTATTTATAATTCGAAATATAAAACATAACAATATATATTAATATATTGAAAAAAAATTTGTAATTTTATTTTTGCAGTTATCAACCAATTATTCAATAATCAACCTATTCTAAAATACTTGATTATTTTAATAAACAATAAAAAATACCTTTTTTTTTAGCTGTTTTATTGATTTTTATTGATCTTTTGTCTCGTTTAGATGCTAAAATGAACCTTTTATCAGTTGTCAAAAGGCTCCAAAATTTAAGAACATTTATTATTGTCGTGCCTCAGATTAGTGATGGTACCTGATCGAAAAAATGCTACCCGGTTTCCTGAGTTATCTGACGGGTATACCCAGCGGGTTACCCGGGTGATCAACAGATATATCCGGGTATAAAATCCTATCCGATATACCCGGGTAAGGTTAATTAAATACTTTTACTTTACTAGATAGCTGCGCGACGTTATCGCGCAAAACCAGAAACAGAAAACCTAAAACAAGAAAACAGCTAGATAAAATGTAAGAATTTGTGCCTAACCGATTACTT